AAGCTTATCACTTCGGTACCCGGTTATGGATAACCATTACCCCCGGTAGAAGATTATCCATACCAGGTATAAAAAGCTTATCCTTTCGGTACCCGGTTATGAATAAACATTACTCCCGATAAAAGATTATCCATACGGGGTACAATGAGCTTATCCTTTCAATACTCCGTTATGGATAAACATTACTCTCAGTAGAAGATTATTCATATCTGGTATAATAGCAACTTACACAATAGCTTGTAGTAGCAGCTTACACAGCAGCTTGCAGTAGCAGCTTACACAACAACTTGCTTTCTTCTATAAATAGAAGATATTACAGTTCATTATGTATATCAGTTTGAATTCGAATAATATAACAGTTTCTCTCTATACTTGTCTTTACTTTACCGTCTTTATTTTATAACATCCTTATGTATTTGTAATTTTTAGATTTTTGTATTTAGTGTACTTCGAAGAAGTTTTAACGATTAGTCCGAACAAATTCACTAGTATTTAAATATTCACAGCGGTTATAAGCTAGTGCATAAGCACCATATGAGTACAATATTAATAACATAGCCAAAAAGCAAAGCACCATATGTGTACAATATTAATAACATAGCCAAAAAGCAAAGCACCATATGTGTACAATATTAATAACATAGCCAAAAAGCAAAGCACCATATGTGTACAATATTAATAACATAGCAGAATTATTTAATAGGTGCCCATAAAGATAACTACATCGGTTTACAAACGATTACAATTTTTTCAAATTTATAGCAACCATATTATGTAATAAGACCAGTAGTATACATAGGTATACTAATTTGTGGCGCACAGATACAACACATAACAAAAACTTATTCAAACAGATGCCTTCGCTGAACAGTAGTTTGATTGACAAATAGCCATACAAATGCCGAACTTCTCTTTGTCTGAAAATTTGAAAAAAATATTGATTAAGTGTTAGATATCACCAAATGCAAGCGAATAGTATGAGTTATGAGTTATAAGTATGGGTATCAAATAGGCAAGATTAGGCTAATTTTGGGCGAATTAAAATGGCTTTGGGTCATAACCCTTCCAATATTTGCTTGGTGACACATGGATTAATATGAGTTAAACGGTTGATCATAATACAATCCATCCAACTCAAATATTTTTCATTTATTTATAAAAACATTATTCATTCCCTAGCTGTTGGGGGCAACAATGCTATTAAAATTGGGCCATATTTTATCTTTCTACCCGTTATTGTGTATATAACATAAATATGTTTTCATTTCTTATCCCAATATTAAAGACCTACAAGATCTCCTTTAAAAGAACGCAATAAAAGAAATTTGTAAATATAAATAAACCACCTGAAAATAAAATAAAAGAGGAGTATAATTATTCTTAGGAATGGCAGGTGGTGCGGAGCGGGTTCTGTCTGAACCCGCGAAATTTGAACCCGCCCCGCCCCGCATAGGATTTAAACCCGCACTCCACCCGCGTTCACCCACCCCTCCCCGCACCCGCAATTTTTTGAACTATTATGCATTAAACTATAAGAGAGATGATAACATGATCTAAGTACTAATAAACCAACGAAGAATTCAAACATTTTGGATAATTGAATTGAAAGGACAGAACAAATTTTAATTCCTTTAACAAAAATTTCTTGTATTAATACCAGAAGAAAGCATGCACTTCCATATGTACATGGAAAAAATTTTGTGAAACCAGAAATTCCAGCAAACTCCATGTTTAAGTTTCTTTTATTTTATTTGAAAACTAGAAGTCTAAAAAGGAAGAGGAAGGAAGAATATATACCAAGACGAAGGAAATTGTTTACTTTTCATTGCTTAATTTGGGTATAACAAGAAAAAGAAATGGGATATATAGAAACTAAAATAATACTTAAAAGATTGGATTAAAAAGTTTCAATAAAACTAAATTGATTGAGTTCTTTATAATGTAGGACAAAACAACAAAATAAATGAGTTTAGGACAAGTTTGCTATGTTCCGAAGCAGTATGTAGTCAATTCATGACTTCAACCCGCAACCGCTTAATTTTAAATAACAATATTTTTAACCCGCCCCGCCCCGCACCCGCAAAACTCAAACCCGCGCCGCACCCGCATTCATCTAAACCCGCCCCGTCCCGCCTCATTGCCATCCCTAATTAATCTATGGTGGTAAAAGTCCCTAGAACTCTCAATTCGATTCTAGTTAGAGTGCCCCGCCTATTTCCCCGAAAAGATTTTTTCTGTCGTAAATGTTATTTCCTTAAACTCACATCTGCCATTTGGGGTTTACTAGTTGTGTTTTCCATCGACGAACAGAGGCAACCCGAAATACCTTTTTATCTTTCTTTTCACATCTTACAACAACACACTATCTAGCTTTTAGGGTAATTTCTAATACTTAGAAAGAAGAATGGTGTTTGGTCAAGTAGTGATTGGTCCCCCTGCTTCCGGCAAAACCACTTACTGCTAGAGGATGACTTAGAATTTGACAGTCATCGGACAGCGGTTATATTCAATATAAATTTATCAGAGGATGACTTAGAATTTGACAGTCATCGGACAACGGTTATATTCAATATAAATTTATCAGTACATATAAAGATTAGTAATGGGTGTGTGTTAATATTTGACTATTTTTTGAAAAACATTCCAAATATATATGGAGTTTTGGTTGAAGTTCTGGTGTGTTGATAACCCCTCTTGCTACCATGTACATCTGCCTCTGCTTACTGCAACGACATGTCTCAATTCCACTAACTCATTGGACGATAACTTAAATTTAAAGTGATTTGGAATATATGTAAATTGAATTTTGGATTTGATTTTTCTGAGTTTGTCAGTTGTTTGGATTGGTCCTTGTTCCAATATATTGAAAATATCAAGTGGGGTTCAAAACTTAAATGTGAACTGAACACCACTTAAAAGGATTTGGTTTGTTAAAATGATGTTTGAACCACAATTATTGATTCTGAAATTAGATTAGAAGTTTAAGCTTTAAGAAATAAAACTGAATAGTATTTTGGAGAACCTATTTGAAATTGGATATGTTGAATCTTGATCTATTATATTTGGGCTACAACATTGCAAAGTTATATATCGGCCACCTGATTGTAATATATATGCGTGGACTGTACTTATGTGTAATTCTTTTTTTGTTTATTTATTCTTTTACAATTCGTTTAATCACAAAATCAAAATGACGAAAGCTTTTTCTTTTCTTATCATAAAATTATCTAACCAGGTAAACCCGTAAAATTTAGGTTTTTGATATTTTCATAAGTTTTCTTGCTGATTAATTTGGGCTAAAATACCACACGAATTAGGAAAATTATATTTTCATTAGTTTAGTTTGACATCCCAAATCATAAGAGAGAGGAGAGAGAATATTTTATACCATTAAGGAGAATATAGTTCATGCATTTTCCAGAAGCGCATTCATAGTTACAAGCACCACTTTTATCAGCCGCAATTGAAGCAGAAGACAGGTAAAAACATTCCATAGAGGGGCAATCGGCGAATAGAGCGCACTTTGCCATGCATCCAGTAAGGGTGAGAATACATTGAGTCGCATAAACAATGCCTCCTGTCCTTACCAGGCAATCCCATACAGATTCAGAAGACACAGGCTGCCCTGAAAAGACAAGAATTGCAAGCACAAAAAGTGATTTAACGCCTAACTTTCCCTCCATATTGAATCTTCCTATTTTATTAATGTTAGCCGGATTTATTTGTGTGAAAATAGGTAGAAGATTCATGAATACTTATAGTCACACATGCATAAGAATTAGCAGATAGTTTAGTCTTTAGCTTTCATTGTTTTATCTTTTGTTTTAGAGGAATCAACGCATTAATAACAAGACAAATATGTGAACCATGCTGGCCATGTGTGATACGTTATACTTATTTTTTTAATCTTCAATGTTTTGTCTTTTGCTTCAGAAGAATCAATGTTTTTTAATAAAAATATGAAATATAGACCACCATGCGGGCCGGGCTGTGTGTGACAATGCAAGAATAATTTTGTCATGTTATAAATATATTATATTATGTATGTTAATTTAGTACTCCATTGTAAATAAGTTTCCTGAAGAAGCTTATCCATATGGGACTCCGCCGTAAATATATTTATCTATTTAGTACTCTATTGGAAATAAGCCTCCTGAAAAAGCGTATCCTTTCAGTACCCGATTATGGATAAACATTACCCCCGATAGAAGATTATCCATACCGGATATAATAAGTTTATCCTTTCGATACTCCGTTATGGATAAACATTATCCCCGGTAGAAGATTATCCATACCGGGTATAATAAGCTTATCCTTTCATTACTCCGTTATGGATAAACATTGCTCTCAGTAGAAGATTATCCATATCTAGTATAATAGCAGCTTACACAACAGCTTGTAGTAGAAGCTTACACAGCAGCTTGCAGTAGCAGCTTACACAGCAGCTTCCTTTCTTCTATAAATAGAAGAGATTTCAGTTCATATGTACATCAGTTTGAATTCGAATAATATATCAGTTTCTCTCTATACTTGTCTTTACTTTACAGTCTTTATTTTATAACACGTTATCAGCATGAGACTCTGCCATCTTANAAGATTTTAAATCTATAAGTGAGTATAATTCTGCTATGTTCAGAATTATTTTCCAATTGAAATTGTGTAATTGTCGCACCCTTTTTTCCTCGCGGAATCGGACTTGTGACATATGGGAGGACAACTCGTTCCCTTTTGGGAATTGATTTTTTGAATTGAAGAGTAGCCACCTAATGATTAAGTTCATTAGAACGCTGAAAAGGGTTTGAGTTTGTAGAACCAGAATCCAGGTAAGGGCTAGAAATTATCTCGAGGGAGGCACCCCTCAAGATCCACTAGTGTGGTTCCCAGCCATGTTATAATTGTGACTTCACATAATCAAATAAGCAATTAAGGGCTCAAGTAAGAAAGGGTCCACATACAACATTGCATGTAAGTCAAGACTTGAGAAAGGGTAAAAAGGGGCAAAAGATTTAAACAATTCTAAAAGGAAATAGACGAAAGTAAGTAAAGAAGAAGGGGGGCCCTAGGTTTATGATTAATATGGATCACATCAATACAATACTTGGCAATCGCTCCTCAAAAGAGGGGTTGTACGTTGTATTAGCGCACCGGTCATCATATCCATATCTACCCTTCCCAACCCGTTAAGGTATTAAAGCGCGGAATGGTATCGTTGCTTGTTGCATGCTATTACCCGTCCCAATCCTATCACTCCCGGGGCATTCGAGACTACTAGTCCTAAAGGGGAGGGAGTTGGGCTTTTTCAGGGTTTCAAAAGGATAAAAATCTAGGCGACAAGCAAAACAAATAGCAATTAAAGGGTGAACAAATAGCAATTAAGGCTCAAGTAAGCCTCCTCATTCAAAGCAGCAAGTTATTTAGCATGACTTACAAGTACTGGTTAGGTCTTTAATAAATAAGGCGTAGGATAGGCTGATACATCACATATTTCTCTGATGAGGAGTCTGAATTAGTCTTGTCTGGATGTAGTCATCAAAGACTGACACAGTTAATTAATTACCTAACAGTTTGCCTAAGTGAGGCCTATAGGCATGACATCTAATAGAGTTGTATTGCTTTTAAGGAAAAAGTTAGCTAGTTTTATAAAAGGGATTTGCAGACGTTAAGACTGGTTTTAGATTCAATCGAAACTGATTCAATTGATCTGTTCTTATAGGCATGATCTCTAAGTGTCATTGGTTTTAAACAGTTGCAAGAATCATACAGACATGATAGCTAGGATGAATTGATTATTATTAAGCCTAAGATTGTTTGCCTAATGGCGTGTGTATGTAGAAGTGCAGAAAGACATGATTTTATATGCAGAACCTATAGGCATAATCTCTAAAATGCGGAAATACAAAGGTGTAGAAAACTTATAGACATACTTTCTAAAGTGCAGAAATGCCTAAGTGTGTGAAAACCTTATAGGTATGTTTTCTAAATGCAGAAATGCAGAAATTATAAATAGCCTATAGGCAGGTTTTCTCAAACGCAGGAATGCAGAAATGATGAATAACCTATAGGCAGGTTTTCTACCCTTTGCATGCATTAATTCCCAACCCTTTCCACTAACCATCCCCAATAGTTATTACAAATTATTACAGACCCGAATGAATCAGAAAAGAAAAGTAAAATTACATCAGAAGCTCCAGCTACATCCAAACGGCCTAATTCAGACTCAAAGTCCAACAATATGAGATAAACCAACTTCCAGGATCAGATTTTCAAAAGCCTTTCTCATATTTAGGATGTGTCAAAGTTCCCAAGAGTCTCAAAAAGGGCTTCGGGCAGTGCTCACACCCCAAAAACATTGCAGAATTAAGATCATAGTGTAGTGTGGAAATGCCAGCCCTCCAATGTCCAAGTTTAGAGGGAACTCATGGTCCCAAAGCAAGGCTCATAAGAGAGGGACAAAACATAGAGTCTAAGAGTAGGTGTAAGTGCATAGGGGATTAGGGAAAACCTTGACAAGCTAGTGGTCATGCCCAGCAAATGGGAATGCTGGCATACCCCTGACCGGCCTGTTAGCCAAACTTAAGAGTTGGGATCCATTGTGGATCAGGTTATGGCCTGGGTAGTAATTAGGATACTGCCAGGCCAAGAACCTTAAGTCAAACACATAGAAAGGAATATGGGTAGGGATTCACAATAGAAAGAGCAAGGAGGGAACATAATTAGCACAAATCACTGAACATAAGTAGTAAAGTAAACAAGGATGCTGAAACTATGAAGTAAACACATAGGGGTGAGGCAGAAAATTAAATGAAAAACATACCAGTTTCAAAGGAAAACAAGTAAGAAAATAGTAGTCTTTGAAAAGCCAAGTTGCAAACACAACAGTTCCAAAAGGTCTCAAGCAATACAGAGTGTTGAATTCAAAACAAGTATTTGCAAGTGTGTATGAAAGTATTGAATTCAAATTAGATGTAAAGTCCTGTCTTGGAAGTGTGTTAAAAGTGCAGAAGGGCAGCCCCTTTTATAGTGCAAAGAAAACCAGTAAGAAAGGTAAATAAATCATTGGAATCAGTCTCCCTTTGGTTAAGGGATTCTGATTCCAACGGGTAGAAATCAGTTAAGGAAAGAAATTTCTACTTAAACCTTTCAAAGTAGCACAAAAGGGGTAAATACATAGATGTTATTTAAGGAAACAGTCAATGGTACACGGTTTGTGCCAAATATGGCAAGGGAATCAATTAAACAGCCATGAAACCGAAAATTGCAAGTTCAATTGAATGAACCAAGTCAAGAATGGTAAAGGAGGTTCAATCGAAGGAAAATCAGTGCCAAATCATTAGCCTTATTAAAGAGATTTCAGAATCAATCACTTAGTTGATAAAAACTTTTGAAAGAGAAATTTCTCATATATAAAGCATACCAATCAAAGAAAAGGAACTGTCAGGTTATTTAGGAAAAAGAGTATATCACTGAAAGTCTCAAAGTCACAAGCAAAAGGGATTCAAGTTCAATTATAGACTCATAGTAAGTCTGAAAGCCTAGGGTCCCAAAGTGGAACCCTAGTACCACATGTCAAAGAAACCCCAAAACCTAGGGTTTCGAAATAAATCAGAGGTGAGAAAACAATGTCTTTGAAAGAGGCTTAGGAGTCTATTTCAAAGACTTATGAGAGGCAAACATACACAAACAAACTTAGAAGAAAGAGATGGTGCGAGTTTTTTAAACAACAGTATTGAAAAGTATACAAACAAAACTTAGTAAAGCGCTCAAAATTAAGGATTCAAACATAAACACATATAGCAAAGAGTGAGGAAAACAACACAAATTAATGTGCGAGCATGAGAGTAACAGCAAAGGACAAAAAAGTCTTGCATAACCGAAAAGAAACAAGAGAGAAAACTCGAGCATAGTAGAAAAGAAAGCATAGATAAACACACATGAAGAGAGAACAGAAAGAATCAAAATATTTGAAGAGACCTTTTTCAGAAACCCTAAAATTGAGATTGAACGATTTTAAAGAGGAAATTTGGGAAAGCCCTTAAAAAGTCAAATATTGCTCAGGCATGACACAGATCTAAAAGAAATAAGCAAGTACAGAACCTCAGACGGCTTGGAGTTGTAGAGAAAACCCTAGAATGAGAAAGGTCTCGAGGAAAGTCGGATCCTGAGTCGAAAAGACTCATATTGCTTGAAAATGCCGGAAAATGGCCAGAGAGGCCATAGATCTATAGATCTAAGAAAGATCTAAAGAGAACCATCAGAGTCGGGCTTTAGAACCTCGAGTAGCTTAGGTTTAACGGAGAGGAAGAGTAAGCACAGGCCACCCATGGCTTGGAATGCCATGGATTCCGGTGAAACATGGTAGAAACCGGTGGGAGCATGTGGGATAGGGCTTGGGTTTCGGAGAGGGCTAGAGAGGATTTGGGAGATGAAGGCGGCGCCTTTGATAGAATGAGTTAAGGTTAGGTGGGTTAGGGAATTAAAAAAGGAAAGGGAGGATCTCGGCCGTTGATCAAAATGTTCAACGGCCTGGATTAAAGAGGAGCCGGGTGGGTTTTAAATCGGGTCGTGGGTTAGGTTAAAAATTGGAATTGGGCTGGTCTTGATTTGGGGCAGAATTGGGGTCAAATTGAGGCTAAAATTGAAAAGAAATAAGGTTGTAATTGAAATAGAAATGGGCTATGTGTTAAATAGCCAATTTTGGCCCTTTTATTTTATAAAAATAGTAAAAAATATTTTAAAA